TGATGGGGGTGGGGGCTCCATGCTGGTGGTGAGGGGGGTGGGGGCAGGGATTTCATATCACTAGCATGTGTTTAGTACACCGAACATTCATGCTGGGACAAAAAAATGAATATCCCTTTATCCCCAATTTACATATGATGTATGACAATAAAAAACTCCAGAGGGGAATGCGACCACAGTGCTGTTCATTACATATTAGCTTTATGGCAATATATTTACCAGGCTGAAGGGCCTTGTAGGAAAAAAGTTGGCAAAAGATCGCGTGACAAAACATCCGTCCCTGTAGGTACTTTTTCAAACAGTAACATTAACTAAAAAAATAACCCTTTAATATTGTTTTTAGAGGAATAATTTCACATCCAACACGTCAAGCACACTAGACAGAGATGGATTCTTCTCTTTGTATTGAAATATTATCCAGGTGTGTTTTATGTGCTGTGATGGTTTGTAATAAGTAAAGAATTCCTCCCCTGTGGACAGAGATATGACACACATACGTTCGTACCATGCACTGAGTTCATTAGTCCATAGCATCCTGTCCCTCACTGGAGAGAGGGTCATGCTTTTGATGAATGGACTGTGCAGCTTGTAGCTTCGGGCTAAGATTCAGTACCTCAAGAGGCAGAGAGGACCCAACTCTGGTTAGAGCGAAGAAAAAGAAGAAAGATAGGAGGAAATGAGGGAGAGAGAGATGAATTTGGATTACCCAGGAGTTCCGTCTCCCCCGAGTCCTGCATCCGAGAGACATTAGGAATCTAATGTGCTATTATTCTCCATCACCCCCCTAAGCCTAAAACATCTGTCCTTGGGGTGTCTCCAGTAATAGACAAGGGCTTTCGGACCCTTCGCTAAGACAAGATAGCAGCTTCTACAAGGGCCCTTGACGTCCTGCCGACTTAATCTGCAAGTACTTTCACAAAATTGACATTGCCTAGAGAGTAAAGCAATCAGCAGACACGGTGTTACAGAGCATTTATATTTCAGCTGTGCTTCCAGAGACAGTGAAACCTGACCTTTAGGAGGCCTGGCAGAGAATTACATTTCTTTTCACTGGTTTTTCTAACTTTAAAAAGGTTTTTTTTTTCAATGAGTTTCTTCAAGGTTAGCAATCTCAAATCACACTGTTTTTTTCCACTCACAGTTTTTATGTATAAAATGTTTTATATCAACAGTCTGATAGAGTAAATCAGTTGATCATTATGATCGAAGTCAATCAGTACAATGTTTTTAATAAGAAAAATGTGAGATCTTGTGAAATACACCTACTGCCTATCTCCCTTCCTCGCACTGACTTACCACTTACCTGTGGATGTTTTATGCTCCAATTCCTAACACCGATGTAAATCCAAACCTTTACATAAACTCTAGATTCCTGTCTTAGATTGTGTGCTTAAAGGATTAGTGTGGTGATATTGTCATTGTCAACAAATGTCCTTTATTACAATTAGCACTGGGACTGTAGTTTATTTTGAGTCAATCCCACATACACTATTCTGGTGCCAAAATAACTCAAGTGCAAAACAAGTCTGCAGCTGAAAATAGTCCCCCCAAAAAACACCTATTTAATTCTGATTGAGTAACAGTTGCTGAAAACTAAATTGTCCAGCTTTCTTTTTTAGTCTTTTAAAAATAAGTGATCCGTTCCTAACATTCATTAGAAATTAAGTGACTTGGGGCTGTGGGCCACAGACAGTAGTCTGTAAGTATTGATAGATAAACTAACACACTGTTGACTTTGGTTTTTCCTGGATTTGTTGACAATAACAACAAGACAGAATACTGGAAATCTTATTCTTTAAGCACAAAATGCTAGAAAATTTAGAGGCATGTTGATTATTGAGAAGACATAAAGGGTATAGAATCTATAATCTGATAATTTAGCTACATGTTTAAATGGGTTCTGTGAAGTGTCATTTCATATTAAAACAGCCTGTGATGATGTGAACATTACAGCTCAGTTATTTCATTTCTGTCAGATCTAAAACACACCACTACCTGGGAAATTACTTAGTTTAATTAGTTTTTTGCATCTCCACAGAATCAGAGAATAATTGTTTTCATATGACCACAGATGCAATATTCATGATACTCATTTTTAACATGAAAGATCTGTTAATGGGGGCATAGTATTTGATGTTGTATTTCTACTAATTGAATTAAATCTAGTCAAAGAGCAGAAATATTTGTCTTAAAGGCTTTTGGACCCCCAAGCTCTGATTATAAATGCATCCCATTAAATGAAAAGAATATATCTTGATTCATTAATTATTGATGAGGAGGAGAAAAGGAGAAGAAATACTATGGGTACTCATTAATTTAAGAGAAATAATGTCTCATCGTTACGTAGGACGGCATGGCAACAACTCCCAGTAGATCCATCAGACAGGCTAGTGGAAACCATGCAACCTGTTTAAATGGGAAGTTTCTTTGCTAAAGAGATGGTGTGGGCTGAACAGATGGCCAAACCTGTGCTTTTCACTCCTGCTTCTGTTGAGCAATTAAAAGTTTCTGGCTGTTTTTCTCCCTTCCCCCCAAAGTACAGATTGCAAACATGACAAGAGGTCAAATATCTGCAAGGGAAAAAGGAGTGGAACAACTGTTCCACCGAGCTGCTCTGGCCTCAGCTGGTGTGCAAGCGGACGAGTATTCACCTGAACGAGGACTGGTAATCACCCCACACCGAAGTGAATAATTAGTGTAATAATTACCAGGCTTAAAATGAATCTGTGAGCTGCCCTCTCTCACAATGCCATCAAGAATAACAGGTGTTGAAAGTGCCTTGAAGGGACAGAGATTAAAGATTATTTCGTTATCCTGGGTCTCCTTCAGGCACAACTGTCTTGTGTTTTATCCTGTCATCCACAGCAAGGGTCGTGTGGGGGCTCATTTTCCTCTGGCTTGGCAGTTTTGGGAGCTAGGCATTTGACAGAGAGTGAATGTTGTTTAATCTGGGAGTGTGAGCCGTCCTTGAGCTTCCTGGACACTCCATGTCCACATAACCTCCAGCTACAGAGAGTTAGGTTGTACTAATGGTTATTATTAGCTGCCACACTGTCTTCCCCTTGCAATAAAAAATCCTAGATATACTGAAATAACTTTTTTGCTGTCTATTCTTATAAAGTAAACAAAATTGTAAAAGGAATAGTAAAATCCCAGTAATAAATCAAAATAATTACACAATTATCCTTTTGTGTATTGATGTCAACATGACCAGATTTATATTGAGTTTACACGAGTATAGCCTGAGGATAATAGCACAATAGCCCATATTTTACACAGTTATGACCATTTAATAACTCAATTTTTCTTATTAAAAGAGTGGGCACTGCTTATCTGATTTCTGTGGCAGCCTAGTGGCTGTATGTACTTTCTGTTTTGACTTAAGCAATGAAGCAAGTGAGCCTAGGGGTGTTTGTTCTTGTAAGAATTACTTAAAGACTTGTCAAGATGCCACAACTCGTGCTTCGGTTCCCAGGCTCTTTCTGTGTTTGTTATTCAGACTTCCTGTGTGTTTTTGAAATTGCTACAGCAGGTGTAACAGATCTTAGACATAACGAATTAAATATTTGTCTCCAATGCTTAACAAAGTGTATTTTGTGTTTTAATTATAGCGCAACTCGAATAGTCCCAATAGTATTACAGGGACAAGTCTATAAATGGTCATTATGTTTCCAGTATCACTATAATAATGTAGCCAGGAACCATAATGTCATGATATTCTTGTGTCACACGGAGGAGCCAGAAACATAAATAGCTATTTGTATGGGATTCCTCTGTGTTTCCATTCAGCAGTCACAAGAATATGTGAATGTCTATGCAAAATCAAGATGAATGTGTGGTTGAAACAGACATTGGTTGATTATAGTATCAGCATGACATCCTGCACTTTATCTTTTACAGTGCCCTGTTGTCTTATAATGTTGTATCATTAGTTTCCCTGACAGTGATTTAGCATTGCGCCATCTACCCCATTGACCTGTGCTGTGTTTAAATGTAACCTTCTTTTAGCCCTAGCCATCATTTGTCACTTCTGAGCTGTCAAATACACACAAATTGGACACGACTTGCCACGGTCAGTGACAGGGAGACACAGAGGGGCTGCAAAACAGAAGCAATCAGCTGCATCCATTACATTTACATGGTCTGGGAAGGTTAGCAAGTTGTTCCTGAAAGATTACCACCTCTAATTTCTTTGGGGAGGATGGGACCTTGGTGCATGCTGCCAAGCCTGCTTTTCAGGTCAGGGCCCCCTGAATGTTAACTAAGACCCAGGAGCAGGTCAGCAGGCAGGCCAAGGGACCAGAGGAAAGCCTGTTCCCTGCTCTTACACTGGCGGCCAGCAAGCCGTGCAGAAAGTTGCCATCCATCTTTGGCACAATGCTAATGATCCATTCTGGGAGAGGTCTGTGGTTAGGAAAGCTATCCAGGTATAGTTCTCCACTGGTGCCTCCCTGCTGCTAAGTGCAACACCAACTCTGAAATCTCTGCCAGCAAAAAGACAGGCTCACTTACCAAAAATTCTCTAGTATTTCTTCAGTAGGAGGAAGAACTGTTTGATGTCCTCACAACTGCTCGTCAACCCCCTGGTTGTCTTCTTTAAGCTATGCTGCAAGAAATTTCCATGTGGTGCCACAAAGGGTACCTCCTGCCTTCAGTTTTTTTTTTTTCACTTTTTCTTTGATCTAAATTATTAAACAGTTTCAACTCCATCTCAAACTGTGATGAGAACTGCGACTATGATTCTGTTTGGATCATGTTTTGTATTTCACTCTTTGCTATGTTGCAGGCAGCTATACTACCATATTCTACATTAATATTTCCAAGATAGTTCTACCATAACACTATCGTTACTGCACTTGAATCTATATGAAATCTGTCAGAGACAAGCAAACAATAATAATAAGTGGTGAAAACACAAATTACAGTCTTTTCACTACAGTATGTAGACAAACACAGCTCTATCATAAACACATTATGTAAGTATGTGCAAATACATGTAATACTATTGAATTTTCATCAACACTTTATGGACATAATCATATATACTGTACAGACACAGATATGTCATAATACAAATCAAAATTTTTATAATACACATCATAATAAACACCTATTTTTACATAATATACAGCACGTCATAATACCAAACTCCATAATAAACAGGTCATACACTTAAACTGAAATAATAGGCTTATACCTTGTAGTCCACCCCAGAGTATATCTTAGATCATGTTCTTTACATTTGATAAGTAAAATATAATAGCATTTGTCATGACCATATGTCATTATAAATACAAAAGTGAAGAAGACATTACACTATCCTATTCTTCAGAAATGTGCCTGTGTCATTTTATCTAATTTGGTTTACAATGAAACGGCCAATTAAAAATAACTGCATTACTTTGTTAATAAAGCAGAAGACTGACTCGAGGGAACATTTCATTGGCAGTTAATTATGCAGTCTGGTATTCTCAGATGTTCTGAGCAAATGTACAGTGAGACTATAAAGCTGTTATTGTGCTCTGGTTCCATTTCATATTTGCATAACAGAAAGAGCACCATGTGTTTCGTCGCTGCCGCCACATGCAAAGGCTGAGCTTGTTTAGAAAAACGCTGGCGTTATTTGTGTTTGTAGAGATGCATTATCAGTAAGTCATACCTTGTTGGATTCAGATCCTGTGACATAAGGTAATCCCTAATGTTTGATTTTCCAAACACGAGTATAATCATATATTTATGTTGTTGATGCTCTGTAATATAGTAGTACACATACACAATACACTGAAGAATTAATATCCACTATGCATAAGAGCTACATATAATGTTTGATATATAAATAAATGTGTATGACTAAAAATATACATACAAGTTACGGTTCATCTAAATCTAAATTTCTTCAGTCTATGGGCTGAACGGCATCCTTCAGTGCTTTTACCAATCTTCATTGAGTTGTGCTGTGAATCTCTCCGTTTTCGTGTCTTTCTGAGGTAAATGATGCTTGAACAGCAGGGAGATCGCTCACTGTTAACCATATGGTTTCGTGCAAAAGGTCACCAGTGTTTTCTGAGGGTTAATACCAAACACCCAAACAGGCAAGAGGAACCCATGCATATTAATGACAGTCTATATTCCCTTGTGCAAAAAAGAACAGGTAGATGGCAAAATTGTTTTGTTTTTTTAAAGACAACAGCAAGTTCCCTACAGGCAATTAATGGTTGAGCACTTTCATCATAGTCTATTCTGACTACTAGACTAATATGATGAAATTTTAAAAAATCATCTCATCAGAAAAAGTCATACTATTTGCTGAAACTAACAGCAATAATGGGAATGGATTTTTGCGGTCTTTTAGTCAGTTATCAACAAGACAACTATCACGTGACGATGAACTGAACTCATAAAGTTTAAATATATAAACTTCACAAAGGGTTCCATTAATAAGTGATTTTTCTCTAGGTATGATGTTTTCACTTTCCTTTGTCGACATTTCTCTTTACATTGACAGTGAGCGGGATCAGGCCCCCCTCAGCAATAATGCGAAATGTTGGCTTTTAACAACCACTTTAAAGCATATGGACGCTCAAGGCCATTCCAACATTGTGTAAAAGCCTAAAGGGAGTGCAGTTTCCCCACAACTGCAGTCCGCACCAAAACAACTATCACTTTATGTGAGAATTAGCAAATAGTTATCATTTCTGTGACATAAAAAGGCTCATGCCAACATGCACTGAAATAATAAAATATTGAAAGGTCTATGAAACATAAATGTGAAATCTTGCTACATCTGTCTCTTGCTAATTGAGTTGCTACCAAGAATGTTAGTACTCTGGAGAATAATTTGTCAGTGCAAAACATCGAATGGACCAATTTATTGTTTGCTGCAGGCTGTAGAGTTCCAACAGTCTTTGATCAACCTTTTTAGGTCAGTATCTCTCGAAATACAGAGAGGAGAATTACATAGCAGAGAAAATATTTCATCTTTTTAAAAGACAAGGAAAAGTATTTTTGTAGTTACACTGTTTGGCTGTAATGGTGAATACATTCTTTAGAGGGTTTGAAGCCAGAGTAGGAAAACAGCAGCTTTTTGTTCATGATATTTATTGTTTTGTGTGGATGGTAACTTAAACATTTATCATAAAAAAGTGACAGAAAAAGTAATTATAAGTTTTGCTTTTTCTCATCACTCACTGGATGTAAGATGCATGCACTGACAGTTACCAGTAGGCTTTGACACATTTAATTAAAAGGATGCTTCAAAGAGTTTTCTGTCGGCTGAGGGGTTGATCAATCTTTGATTCTGGAAGATTCTTGGCATTTTGACAATGGGTGTACTAAAGGTTGTTTGATAGCTCAGTCAAGTGTCAAAATTGTATTTTGCCTAAATATATGATAGCTCTTTACTGAGTTAGTGGTGTAGGGTGGTGGTCTTTAAGATGAGTGTCCTTAGTGAACCTGATTCCATGGTAAAATCACTGTTATTGTATCAATAGTGCTGTACCTTGATGTATACGATACTGTAAACATCAAATGTGGACTGTGTGAACTCAACTAGGCAGCATTTAATTACTTAGTATTAACAGTAACAATAAAAAATGACCCAGATTTGACTATTACCACGACTGACTCTCAACTTCCTCCAAATAACATAACCTCGCCTAACAATACTACAGATAAATGTATTCAGTATTTATGCTGTAGAATATCTTCAGTTTTAATAGGATGAGACAATAAATGTTGTGCTTATCATAACATATCTTCCAGATTTTTGTTTTTATTTCACTGTTATTGTCAACCTCTCTTCTTTGGACAGCGATGAGGAAAAGTTCAAGCAGACCATCATTTCTACTGTGACATAAATATATTTGAAACTCCAGTATGTAATTTCACATGTTGGTGCCCCTACAAGTAAAACAGAGGCAACTGCCTTAATACTGAGGTTTGTAAGAAGTCACATAATCATATCCTGCTTTTGTTGTCTGATGATCTACAAGTACAGAGTAGATTCTTAAAGCTAATTTATCTTATCACGGACAGTATCGGACTGCTGTAAACTGCACACTTCTTCAAACTTACATATCTAATTCTTTGTGGCCTGGTTGGGACAAAAAAAAAAAAGAAACTCTCCATCTTCCAGCTTATTGTGGATGATCTGAAACTCAATAAAAAGGCTTGTTTATTTGTCTTATTTGTCACTGACCACCCGGGAACCTGAGCTGTTTCTCCCTAACAACCTTTGCCCCTGATGTGTACAAAAACTATGTTTACTATTTGTAAAGACTCAGCTTTAGCACCAGGCACCCTGGGCCTGGTTGCTATAGAAACAGACAACAAATCCTATAGTGACTTTTTAAAGCCATTTTTCCTGTTAAGCCACATTGTAACATTGTGCAGTAACAGGTGACAGCTGGATAAATCAAACAATGTTGGAGTTCCTGACATAGCTCTATTGCAAATAATAACATGGTGTGTGTGTTTTTTTAAAAAAAGATATACCATGTTAGAGTCATAATGCAACATATTGTTTTGTAATAACTTAAGAGTACAGCTGGCCTTTTTCTCGTTAAACAAATTTAGTAACAAAAATGGCAAAGAGTCTATGGTTATCACTACTGTATCCCATTCATTATACTTATGAATGGTCCCTTGGTCACATGGCTGGAAACTGCAATTATGCTGGCAGTAAAAGGAAAAATTGACTAGAATATTTAAAAATGCTGAATTGCTTTAATTAATTTCAAAATAGTAGACTTAGCTGTAGTGGAGGCCTATCCTCCTGTGTCCCTTCAGAAATGCTGTCTCAACACCAGGCCATCCTTTTGCTGGTCTGTGCCCACATTAATCAACAAGGTAGCTTTATCTGATTTGCATATTTTCTGCTAGTATTCAAAATCATATTTAGAGTTACAGTTCAAATATAATAGAGATGCAAGCCTCTTGGTACAAATCAACTTCATATGTCAACCATTATAAAAAGAAAAACCCAATCACAAAGCAAATATCTGCTTAGTATTTTGTTTGTAACACACAAGCATACCTCTATCAAAAAACGTATTGGTTAAGAACAGACACAATAAACAAAAACATGTTTGCTTGGAATATATCCACACTCAATAATAGTGAGGTCATATAATTTATTTCTACTCAAAACATCTCCACAAGGCCCTCAAGATAAGACATCAGGTTGTACAGCGCTCTACATCATTAGCTCACACATGTACAGCGTCTCAGAGGACCTTTAATTTGAGTAGGAAAAGTCTGTTCCTCCGCTATGAGGTTAAAGAGTGGGTGACAAGTGAAGAAAATCACAGCGGAATGCATTAATTAGAAAGACCTAAAAGCATATTTATCAAAGGCTAAGCCATATGGGAATTATCTTAGAAAGGATCTAACAAAGACAGGACAGGTTAATAGAATAAAAGGCCTTGAATAGAATGTGTGCTTATACATAAAATATCAACCTGATCTCACATGTAAACGAATCATTAGGATGTAACAATTAAATGTTATGGCAAGTAGCAGATCCTTAACAATTCAAATGACCTTCATGTGGTCTGACAGTGACAATTGGCTTCTTATGTTCACTCTGATTAAAATGTCAAAGCCTCTGACTTAATTCATCTCGGCATTTGAAAGATTACACATGAAAAGGACCAATATTTGCTCAGAATAAAAAAAGACTGATTGCGTGAAGCTGAATATGTTGATATCAAAAAAATATATATCTCATGAACTCCCAACAGCACACTGGTCTGCAGAGGAAATAAACAGCCCAGTGATCCCGAGTGAATCATCTAAATGGTGTCAATCACAAGTGAATATGGAGGGCTGCCGTCCCAGCTAGAGATGACTGATGGCCCTTCAGTGGCGATTGAGACAGACGGAGACGATTGAGAGAGCTTATCTTTATGGTGGAGCCATGGAATTGTTAACAGGATGTGATGGCCTGCGTCCGCCGAGTTGAACTGGGAAATAAAGCTGTTGGGCTCGGGCTACCTTGCCATCATTCACAGAGGTAATGATCTCTGTCTGGCTCAGAGGTAAGTAATAGTCTGCCCATGGGTTAGTAAGGGCATGACACAGCGCCGCTGACAAAGTTGAACTTAGACAGATGAACGCAGGTCAGTACTCTGCTATATTTTTAATACATTTAATAGGCAATTTAATAAAGATTAGAATATATTGTCAAACCTAAGGTTCGTGAAGTTTAAGAGATTAGAAGCCTGTGATTTCTAGCCATGGAAGTTTTTAGATTTTTTTTCTTATGATCCAGGAAATAATGTAGAGCAGTGCAGAGAAAGATGACCACAAAAATAAAATACATCTCTTTAAAAAGGTTCCACGTGTCATTACACCATGGTGAGCATTGTGTCCATGATGACTGCATATTGTAAATGATGGTGGAGATTCTTGTTGAGATCAAAATGGAGGCGAGAGTATGTTGAGAGGAAGCAGTCAAAGATCTAACTCAATTATCTTTAGCAGGATAATTAATCAATTCAGTATGCATATCCAAGTCTCAGAGGCGTCTTTGAGATAATTGTTCTCATTGACTTGAATAATTATTTGTTTGCTGATTTAATTATTTTCGCATTTGGAAAACAAATGAACTGTGCTGGTACATACTAGAGACTTATTTTTTCTTTTGGTGTTGGGAGGTGAAAATGTACAAAACTGTACTGCAGAGTATCTGACTGAAACACTGATGTTATGAGAAACACTAATGCAGAATGTCTCTGGAGAAATTAACTGCAACCATATTCAGAATTTATGTCATAATGTGGGTTTTTTTTCCAGGACCCTAACCTCAACTTGAAGAAGGTCAATAAAACATGAATTGTTTCTGCCTCGTGGCATCAATACAAACTACACTGAATCAAAGGCTAATATTTCTCAGCTATGAGGTCAGCCCTGGGTTACAGACACAATGTCCTCATATGATAACTGGCATGTTGAAAACAATTGTCAGAGTCTTCAGTTCACACTATTACGAGTATGAATGAGACCTTATGGCTACTGCAGCAAATAGCACAAATTATGAGGGTCACTTTAATGGCACTCACTACTATTTATCGTGCCATTTTAAATGTTTTGCTCATTTGTTTCCATTAAATATTTCATCTTCCGTTAAATATTCATTTAACTTCCTCTTTAAATTTTTTACCAGTCTCTTTGCAGTTGCTATCTTTTTGCCTCCCTTTTAGGCTTTGCAATCATAAATAATTATTCATCTACACCCAGAAAGAGATTGCATTAAACATGCACATGAATCCTTTTTGTCTTTTCTCATTAGTGATATACTTCGAGTAGCCTAAATACTTCCCGCTACCCCACTTATGGAAATTGGTTGGAGAACCGTCCTAATGATTCTGCTTCACAAATAGGTTACAGCTTCCATCTCTGCTCCGTTCATCCCTCCTTTCATCATGAAAGGAGAGGTCTGCTACAGCATCTACGTTGAGTCTGGAGTTCTTGTATTACTTTTAAAAGGAGGAATCAGATACAGCCTGCATCAGACAATGCTACTTTAGCTTTTATTGTTTAAACCAACTGCTAGGCTACAGTGGAAGTGTATTAACAACAATAGCTGTTCGCTGACACTTAACTGTGTATTGAGGAGAGATGTGTACTGTAATGAACAATGCAACACAAACATTACAATATTGCTCTTTCAGTCAGGCTACTTTGCACTGGCTCTTTCTGGCTTTACAATATTTCATTCTGGTAGGATTTTTTGATATTTATTTATTTTCATTTGTCATATGTAGCATTTTCATATACAATTTCAGGAATAAAAAAAATAAATAAAATAAAACAAAGTCAGGATAAACACAAACTATAAATTATATAAAAATCAGGATAAACACAAACTAAAAATTATATAAGAAATCATGATAAATCTAAATTGATTTTCTGTTAAATTTGTGGGTACAAATGTGAAATAAATTTACTATAAATATTTATGATGAATCCTTTTCTATCTGCGTTATATGTGTTGATGCTATAGCCTGGCTCAATAGATTTATCTTGACTAAACAGGCAACATTTGTCTTAATTTGTTAGATAATTGCAACATGACTCATTAACAAACAGCACCATGGTGAAAGGTGGAAGGGAAACATAAACTCTTAATTTGACTGGATTATCCTTTTGTGATGAGGCCTAATGATCCAACAGAGTAAATAGCAACGTGTTAATTAGAAATTACACTGAATGATCCGCTGCACACAGAGGAGGTATTAACCAGTCAGCATCATTATGTTAGATCTATAGCTGCCTTTTTTTTCCTTTTTAAGAAAAACAATGAGGTCTGATAGTAAAATGCCCATTATAACTACCCCCAAAAGAGAAATTATAGTTGCAGTTGACACTCTTCAGTTTAGAAGTAAGTGTTGCTGAAAGCTCATAAAACCAAATAGACTGGAGACTATACTCTCCAGAAATATTTATTGATAAGGCCTCACCTGAGGGGTGACTACACCAATATTAATTTGAAAAATATACTATTTATAAAGACATGTAATTTAACTCAATTGCAATACAAAATGTAATTGCTAAATTCAGATAAATAGAGAACCTTCTGTAAATGTAAGTTAAAAACAGGCTATTATAATTACAACTTGTGATTTCTCCTCATTACAAACCCGAGACTCTGCTCCAGTTTGCTTTTCACAAGGGTTTGAGTTATGGCGGATTTGTATCAATAAAGGCATCCCCCAGACTGCAGTGTTTAAGTGAGCATCTGCCTCCACCTAGTGGCAAAGATTGGTTACTGAGGGTGAAGCTAAAACGTATTGAAGTTTGGTTAAAATGCTATTGGTAGTAGTATAATTAACTACCCTTTTTTTTTTATCTTATATGTTTTGATTCTATATTATAATGTGGTCTTAAATACTATCAACATACCTGTGCATGTTCATCTGTGCAACCATCTAAAAAGGAAAACAATTATTTAGACACATTTATGAAACAGTTAACTACAGATGTATTACTCCAACCTGTGTATACTGCAACAATACAGCGAGGGTCTGACATTTCTTCTGGCCCCAGTCTCACACTATGTATCAAAGATACTCCCCTGAAGTTAGAATTTACACATTTGTGGTTTTTTTATACACTGCAATGTAATGTAGTATGCAATTTAAGTCCTGTATCTAAACCTACTTCAGCAACTAAAAAAGTAGACTACTTGTTATGCAGAATGAAGCCTTTCTGAGTGTAATATCATTATATATTTATATCATTGGATTATGATTACTGATTTATTAAATCTAAGCAGCATGTTAATACTTGGAGCTAAGGTGGAGTTAATTTCCACTACTTTATGTACTCCTACTGTTGGGTTGTTTAATCAGTGACAATGCATCATACTTTATAAACTGATATGTGGGATCAAAATGTTGCAAACTTTTTTTTTACAGATTGAAGATGGAAATAGAATTTCTATCTAATGAAAAGCACTGCTGTCCTAAAAGAAGTTTAAAAACTGTATATGTTTTGAATACAGAGCGGATCAACTCTTTTAAAACGTTGTTATTCAGCAGAGGGCAGTGAAACCTTGCTGAGGCAGTGACACCTCAACAGTTCACGGAGGGCAGGGGTGCCAGGTTTGCTGATTTTCCATAGAGAAAGTCAGGACGATTTGACTCATGTTATCCATTAACTTATCTCTCTGTCTCTAACTCTAGTTAAGTGACATGTTTTACATACAGTTTTACTACAGTTGGAGGGCAATTCACGTTATCAAGTTTATTTTGATCGTTTAAACGATGAAAAGAAGAAGATATTTTTAGAATATAACTAACTTAAATTAGAACATTTTGCATCGCAAGATTAAACAATGAAAACTAATCATCACTAACTATCGTTCAGATGGTGAAACCAAAATAATACTTAAAAAGTAGTGTAATTTGGTGTGCTTTATGCTCGAGAGATGAAGATATAAAGTTTAGATACAAACCTGCAGGAAACACAACTGGCAACTTCATAGAGCCCTCGCTCCTGCCTCTAACTGAAGAAGTAACGTTAACAACAAACGCTCCAGTCAGTTAACGTTAGCTAACTTGCAAACAACCGTTACACCACCGAGACTGACACCCGGCTAGTTAAACCAGCGGATTCTGACTTTATACATTACACGGATCCATGGAACAGTTATCCCAAGGTTGTCTCGTAGTTGGCGTGTTTTTTGTGGATTAAGGCCGACCGGGAAGGGGACGACATTAGCTCGCCGTTTGCTGGTTGCTAAGCTAGCTAACTGTAGCCTCATAGACGCTAGCGTGACTAACGGCTGTTACGTTCGCAGGAGAGCGTTCTGACTCGGAGGAAGGAAGGAAGGGAGGAAACTGATAAGTAACGTTAGGACCACTGCGCACCGCTGCTTATGCAAAGCCACCGTACTTTCTTTTTTTTTTTTTTGGACTGCTGAGTTGTCACACCGTGACGCATTTAGAAAAGGTGACTATCTGTGCACCTTGTGTGATATTTAACACCATTTGGTTAATGAGATGTGCTGTTAGTTAGTTAGCTGTCAACAACAACAGTCCTCTTGGCTCGCTGTATAGCGGACGAGAGCTAGGACGCTAGCCACAAACTTCCAAAGAAGTTGTGTTAAGTCAGATTCAGCTGTCTGGCTGATATATGTTAACCAGCGAACCGGTGTTTTAAACGTTTCGTTAACTCTGGTCGAGCACCAGGGCGACAGGAGAAACTAATGGCAACGGATGTGATCGAGGGCGAAGCGGTGCTTAAGGGTGTATGTGATATGAGTTTGAACAATAGCAGCCCAGATTTTGTCACACCCAGGAGGACTCATGAGGAGCCGGGAAACAGACAGACTTCTAGTCCCTCGTCTTCTGGGGTGTCGGGAGAAGGCGACGAGGAGGAATTGGACGAATTACAAAATAGCACAGCTTCTGCTGTTGAAAATGGCGAAGAGGCACTTCAAGAGAGTCTAACCAAAACAAGAGGTACGCCACAGGAAAGGAGAACTCCAGACAATGAGCAGAAACAGCCGGGAGCAAGGAGCTCTACCCCGGTGAGCCTCCCCCAGCCACGCTCACCCCCTGGACCCATTGGAAGGTATGTATGCCTACCTTTTTCACGGTCTACATGTTGGCAACCTAAAAATATTATCTGGTTTCATGTTTCCATGCAAGAATGCTGTTCTCCCAGAATCCAGCACGAGATGTTCAAGTGTCTGGTGAAAGTTTTCCAGTGTACTGGATTTGATGTTGACTTGTGCTGGATCAGTGCGAACTAGCTGCTGGGTTCAGCAACTCAAATGAAAACATAGTTTGTAACAAATTTACAGACGGGTTTCTAAATCAGTGCTTGGCCTTTCAACAGACATTAGTACCTAAAGAGGAGGACACATCCTTTGCTAACCTTTTGGGCATTCCCCTATTTGCAGCCTGGCCAGAAAAGCAGGTAAAGTAGAGGGCCTAGAGGCTAGACTGAAGCTGCTATGAAATGTATTTCCTGAACATTACAGAGAGGATTGTCACAATAACAGAAATATCTGTACAATCTCATGTCTTTTTGCCCAGCCGCAGCCAAAAGTGTAAGGTCATATCACAGTAATGCAGTACAACAGCACCAGAGACTAGGGTGTGAAAATGTGTTAAATCAACACTTCTTTTGCACAATCTAAAGAAAAACTTCAAACTTTGGAAATGTACTATACTGCACGTTTTTTTTTTTTTTTTTTTGGGCTGCACAAGTGTAAGTGCAATTGCCATCAATTGTCTCAAGCCTCTGTAGGTTATAGTCAGCAACATCTTTGGACAGCTGAGCAACGTCACATGCGCAGAGCATCCTTTGGCTGACTCATGACAAACTTATTAAGAAGATGACAGATCTTTCTCTCTGGTCCTTGGAAAACAAGGGTGGATTGTTCGTTATAAATATGTGCACATCATTGTAGGTGCAAGGTTGTGGGTAAAGGGTAACTGCTGGACAGCAACACTAGTGGACACATTGTATTTAACCACAATGAGATTATATTTCAGGATGTTATCAGCCTTTTTAATATTATAAATTCGCATAGAATAACAAGCAGTTTTATTGATAGAGGAATTTCACTTAACTGAAGCCAAAACGGGCCACTCTTTACTGTATTGCTAAAAGGGAATTCAATTTAAAAATGTAGCACGGTATATAGTAATAGTTTCCCACCCTTTTCATCATAAAGATATGATGGAGTGAATCATATTGTAGTATTCCTGTCAAGATTGATAAAATCATGCCCATAAAAAATAACTTCTCATTAAACATTTTAGCCAATTCCTTTGATCACATTCAATGTATTTAAGTATATTTTCCTTTGTCAAGATAGCATAAACTATGTGTGACATGTATTCATGTGCACTTGTCTTGAAAGAAGAAAAACCTCTTAAAACATCCACCATTGATCTGCAGCCTAATTCACCTCACCACACACTGCATTATTATTATAGTCTTTAAATGGTCATTCATCTTTTCTAATTGACTCCCTAATGTGGCTGATTCCACTTACATACAGGTTGGCTTTCAGTGCACTTTGTTTGCAAGGGTTCCTTTTCAGGAAACCACATTCCTGTCTCCAACTCTTAGCTGGGTCTCAAATGTAATGTGAGGATTAGCGCTATACATAAGCAAACAGCTAAACTGATACGTTACGAAATGTTGAGTACCAAATGCCCAGAATGTTTTTGTGTCTGGGAGCACAAATACAGTCATGTATGTGATTAATGCATCAAAGGGAGCTCTGTACATTCAGAGATACAGATACCATGATCAGCATTAGTAAGTAGCCTTATGGTTTATAGGCTAAACTAAGCCCTCGACACAAGCTTGTAAGCTTTTCAAGAAGCCAGTGATCTGATTATGTGGTCAGTTGCAAGCTGAAAGTCTTGAGATCCTCGATCAACATGCAGGACTGTGAATTGCGATAATAATAATAATAACAATAATAATGAACTTTATTTATATAGGACCTTCAGAACCGGATTTACAAAGTGCTTTACAGGGAGAAAACAACAGGACTCATGGACGTGTTAATCATAAAAACACTGAGAACCATAGCACCATCAGTGTACAATATACATATATAGCATAAGGAATAATCACCACAACAGTAAAACATAGCAATAAATACAAATGAGAGATGAAACAATAAAACCATGGTAAATAAAAGGTAAGATAAAAGAAAAGCAAGACTAAAAAAGAGCAATTTAAGAAGAGACTTAATTAAAGTGATAGATTTAGCCATCCTGAATTCCTCTGGAAGGTTGTGCCACAGCTGGCACATGATGGAAAATGCTCACCTTATGTTTTTAATTTGGAAACTGTAATGTGGAATTATATATTGATTACCAATGTACCACAACGCATCTGTCCAGTAGCTGGTTGAACAAAGGTTATTTTCTTCTCATATCAAAGTCATATCATGTCCCCCTTTAAGGACTGTTGTGATAATACATAAGCACATACTGCCTGGCATATAAACATAAACAGTGGTTTCCCTGACTTGATATAATGCTAGGTGGTAAGTAAGGCGAGGTTGACCACAGCACTTGAAAAGCTGTTATTAACCTTTTATTATACATTAAATATAGGACGTTTAAGGTCCATCCTAAAAGCCATTTTTAATTTCATTTTACTTATTCATATTGAATTACTGAATCTGTTTACATTAATGGACTCGTAGATGGATCTTTTTTCAGTATTGTGTAGACCCCCGCTCTTGTTAGCAAAGTGTATAAATATGAGCTTTTGTGTAGCTTTAGTCAAATGTATCTGTTGTCATCCACTAAAATCATAAAGGTTTTAGTTGCTGACGTATTAACCCACCAACAAAAATTGCCTTTGGCTCTTGGTCTGCGTTTCCCCCATAATCCTTTGAGGATTGTACAAGTCACAAGCCACTGTTGACAGATAACCATTTATGTGTTTGGATGTTTTAATTTATTTATTTTTCCATGGATAATCTCTGTTGGCCCTGCTCTTGAACTTTAATACATTTGAAGTACAAGAGGGCCTTTTAGCAATTAGAGATCATTAAACATAAAAGATGGCATAACCTTTTTGGGTTTTCATTCCCAGCCTGGAGCGCCAAGAGTCAGTCGCCACAACAGAAGCCCGCCTAAGAATGGAAGGAGTTGAACTTAAAGAAGAGTGGCAGGATGAGGACTTTCCACGGTATTGTCAATCATCTCAAAATGTTGTTAAATTATGTATGGGCAATGGTTCACAGCCTTTTATCACATGTTTGTGTTTTGAAAGTCACATGAACAACGCTGAATTCATTACCACCTCCTGTTTGATTATCAGGCCCCTACCGGAGGAAGAGGAGCTTGAAGATGAGCTTTTTGCAGGAACCTCTGAAGAGGGAGACCCTGGTAATGAAAACAGAATAGTATACAGTGCATTGCTCCAGTGACTCAGGAGGACATGTTCCCCTTTTTTTCACCTCTTTCTTAAAAGTCACACATTGAGGGAGTTATGGGTTGCTGAAATCATTCGTGTTCATTCTTGTTCGTGCAAAAATGCATTCTAAAGTTCAGCTGAAACTAATATGAGTTCTCAGCAGTCTGAGTAAGCCAGGGCAAAAGGGTATCTTCCAACGTAGTCTTTTTAGTACAAAATCCTTTCAGACAACGTTTTCTTTGCTGAGCTGCAGTGGAGAGGCAGTAACAAAGAGGGAATTCTGTTCTAAAAGACTGTTAGAAGATGCCACTTGATTTGTTTAACTTACACTAATGAAGTCTCATATTCAGAAAGCATTCTTGCGCAAACAAGCACTCTGGATGTTCAAGGAAAAGATCTCTTCCCGACTTCTGAGCCCTGTATTACAACAGATTAGAAAGAGTCTGAACCTATCCTTAAATGGCTCTTACAAACTAACCACTGATGATTTGGCATCTACCCTAGGCTATGCAATGAACCACGGCAAGAAGGCAAAGAAGAAGCTTGCCGCTCCAGACATCAGTCTCACACTCGACCGCAGTGAAGGTTCTCTTCTTTCTGACGAGCTGGATGAAAGCACAGAGCTGGACCTCGATGACATAGATACACCTTCAGACAACAGCAATGAGTTTGAATGGGAAGGTAAGAACTTGATATGACGCGATGAAAGTGATTAGAGTTTTAATACTTACAGTCATATCATATAACCCTGTTTGTTGTGTTATTACTGAAATTTCAAATAGTAAAGTTTAGATTGACTTGATGAGATGGAGGGGGTGCAAATATATTTTCGAACTGAACTCAGATAGTGTGTGTAATTTATTTCTGAAAAGATTTACTCTTCTTGGTTGAAGCAAGTTATCAGACCAGCCTTTAATTTCCTGGTTTTTGGATCCATCTGCGTTTTCCTTCCTTGCTTTTACAGGTTTGGGAAGGCAGCTGACTGCCTTAACTGTAGTTAAAATGTGCTTTGTTGTTTTTGTGTTTCCACACTGCTGCCTTCCTCTTTTTCACTTGGAAGAATTGTTTCCATTCTCTGCCTGGAAACAGGCTGCAGGCCAGCAACAGGTTTCTCTCTTCCTTGTGGTAAGGTCTCTTGGACAGACCCTGTTTTTTTTTTCTGCCAACCATGAGTCAATCAACCCCTATTGTCCAGATTGTGTTCTGTCTTCAGTTGTTCAAACAAATCATGAGGAGGTTCCGTGTTTCATAACCTTCATTTTCAGTTAATGTTTTTTTGCATGTCATTTTTCCTTTTCATGTCAGATATATCTCTGTGTTTGAGGAAACAATCAGTAGAAACTTGTCGGTTAAGAAGCAGTCTCATGTGCACCATAGTGCTGCAGTTATCACATATTAGCCATTTTAACATTTGCTAACGTTCTGTTTGGTTATTAGTCATTCAGTGTGTCACACACATCACAATAAATAACACAAGAAATTAATATATTATAGCATCTTTTAATTAGAGAGGCATTTTACCGCTTGAAACTTACATCGTAAGATAAGATAAGGCTATATTGATCTCCACATGGGGAAATTCATTTTGTTGTAGCAGCTCAGATAAACAGAAAAGGTAAAAATATGAACAGAAAAATTAAAATAGAAATTATACAAGAGAAATTAAGAGTAAGTGACAGCAGTGTGACTGGTAGTTATGTTAAGGCCAAATCTATATATGTGTATCATACATCAGTGTTTGGTTCGGTATATTTAAGAAATAGGCCACATGCAGATAGATCCTTTTATAAATGTGTGTTGCTGTGATTTGGTTGCACTCTTCCCTTATTTTCGATTCTGCTTGCTGCATGCTTGATATACATAATCATTGTAACACTTTGCTTGATGTCGCATACACCCTACAAAAGATGCACAGTCCTCAGGGATTACAGCAATGGTGTGTTGCTGTGGGAGTGGGTGTTGGAAACATGTATTTCCATTTGTTATACCGTTTCATGCAGAGTACAAAAGCAGGAAATTGTAGATTTTCCCCCTGGAAAATGCTGACCTCAAGTGAAAGGGAGACATGAAAGTTGAGATGTGATTGTTGGTGTTGATTCGGAGAGAAAGCATGCCATCCGGATACAAAATATAAAAACAACAAATTAAATGCAATGCTAATGTCCATTGATTAAAAATGCATGTGATTCAAACGTTCAATTATGAATTATTGAGTGATCTAAACATTTAATAAATGATTTGACTATATATAATTATATAAAATAAATAAACAGAATATATATAATTTGATCACATCAGACAGCCCTCACACCCATTGGGGGGGTGTAGTATCCAAGCTGTGGGTTTAAAATGCCTCTTCTCTTTTAGACGATCTCCCCAAGCCGAAAACTACAGAACTGCTACAGAAGGGTGTGGAGTCGGTCCAGGAGTACTCGGCCTCGGAGGAGAGGGAGGAGGGTCGACGCTGGAGGGTGTTTCGCATTGGAGACCAGGAGCACAGAGTAGACATGAAGGCCATTGAACCTTACAAGAGGGTTATCAGCCATGGAGGTCAGTGGCATTACATTGGGAAATTGGCACATGCACATAAATATTCATTATAAGTATGCCAGTGTCCTTTTAATTTACAAGATGAATTGTTGCTCTATTAGGTTCGTGTTTGACATGAGTTTATTCAAAATATGAAGTAAAATATGTTACATACTGAAAAGTCTATTTTCTGTTTGATTTTTCTCTGCAGGTTACTATGGAGATGGTTTGAATGCCATAATTGTGTTTGCTGTGTGCTTTATGCCTGAGAGCAATCAACCAAATTACAGATACATCATGGACAATTTATTCAAGTGAGTGTTTATTTGAATTCCTCCGGCCTTTATGAGTAGCCAAACATTTTATAACCAGCGCTAATGAAGTCTTCCTGTTGCAGGTATGTCATTGGCACACTGGAGCTTTTGGTTGCTGAGAACTATATGATTGTGTATTTGAATGGGGCGACCTCTCGGAAAAAGATGCCAACTGTCGGCTGGCTCAGAAAGTGTTATCAGCAGATTGATAGGAGGTGAGTCTGAGTGATAGATTTTACAGCAGATGCAGAGGCATCAGCCCAGTCCCGGCAACAGCATCGACATATACAATATCTGATGAAGTTGTTAATGGCTTCTCTCACTCTTTCTGCAGGTTAAGGAAGAACTTGAAGTCTTTGATAATTGTCCATCCCTCTTGGTTTATTCGCACCCTGCTGGCACTCACAAAACCTTTCATAAGGTAACAGTAAATAACAAATAATGAAATGAAGGTCATCTTGGGTAACTTTTAGATTATGACATTTCCTGCTCTTTTTCCACAGCTCTAAATTCAGTCAGAAAATCAAGTATGTGTACAGCTTGACAGACCTTGCAGAGCTGGTTCCAATGGAATATGTGTCCATACCAGATTGTATCAAACAGTAAGTATACTCCACTCAAACACATCAGCACTTCTTCATTTTTACATTTTACAGCTAGAAAACGCAGTTCATTTGAGCAATTTACGTGATTACTGACTGGAATTAGTACAAAACCATTACCACATCAGTGTAGGTCACCTTCTATTTCTTCCCTTTTATAAATTTCATCAAATCCTCACGAAACCTGGTACAAAACATCTTTGATATATCTTCCTGTTTTGTTTTTGTTTTTTTTACTTTTATGGGTTCCCAAAATCTAGTAATGTTTTGTGCTTCTACAGTATCAGCTCTGACCAATCCTGCAGGGTTTGGTTGCATTTCATCTGTAGGTGGTGCTATAGCAGCATTCTGCTTTTGCTGTGTGGCCAGTGTAGTAAAGATGCCAGTAGGTATGAGTCTGACCTGCTTGGCATTTTGTTGTAGTTGATCAAAGCCCTTAAATTCCCAGGCAGGATTTAGGCATTTTCCAAAATCATAGAGACTGTCTGCTCATAAGGACAATTACGTACTTAGTCTATATGTATCACGATGGAGACGAGAGCCAAGCGCAAACTAGAAACATATTTTCTTTTGTAAAATATACATTTAGAGCAGTTAAGCACATGTATGTTTTAAGGTATTTCAAGTGGCAACATTACAGAAAAGAATTGCATCTGGATAATTTTGTGATATAAACTGCTATTAAAGAATACATTCTTCTTTTTGTGTTTACCTTTGCTGATATGCATAATTGTTGAGCTCATGCTGAGAAATTGCTCATACTGTATTTTTCCTTGATGTGGCTTAACCTGAGGCGGATCTTGTGTCCTTGTGACATTTGAAAAGACTTCAGCACAAATACTCATCTTATCAAATGTGTTTTGCTCTTTTGGATGTTTGGTTGCTGTTGGCTGTGTATTTCTCCTTTCCTTAACTCCATTTCCCTGCCCCCTCTTAAGGTTTGACGACGAAAAAAATAAGAAAAGCCGTAAAAGGTATATGCACTTTCACCCAGGATCAGTCTCAGCATTTTTTGCATTTCACAAAACTAACAACGAAACAATCCGTTGGCTTTCAGAAATGCACCAATACACCTCATTATGTCACGCGTTTTTGTAGTTGGATGATTTGCTGTTACCTTCTAGCCAAATTTTCTTACTTTCCTCCCCCGTGTCCCACTTTTTCCTCTCAGTAGATTTTAGCAAGTTCCTGAAAAGCAGGCTGAGAAGCTGTTTGATTGGTTTCCAAAAATAGGTGGCTTGGTGATTGTTTAACCAACTAAATCCCATTTTTGACCCAATTCTGTTCTCAAAGCCAATTCTTGTTAAATGTTCTTCGTTTATTTATTCACGGCCCAATCATTTAGCTATCTGTGTGTGGTTTAAAACATACATAAAGTACCTTTTGTATATACATTTTTACAAAAAAAAAAAGTTGGAATAGTTTTGCTGTAGATGGTTGCATTGCTGCTTTCTGATATTAAAGTTGGGACATCAAGTAGGACTTACTTGCATGTGTCTTTTAAAAAAACAGGTTTAGAATGTGATGCGGTTTATGTTGGGTAAGTTTGTTCGTGTTTGTACTACTGAACATTTTGGAACTGCAGGGAAGTAGCTCGTCTTAGTCACTGTGGTGTGCGGTTTCACTGTAACCATGTTCCTTACATGGTTCCTCTCTGTAACTTGCCCTCACCAAACACTCGGCTTGTCCACTCTCACAGCTCTTTGCATGACTCACTGCATACCCACTCCCTGCTGATGTTTAGTAATCACAACAAACCCGGTCAGCCTTGCTCATGCACACAGATACTGCTCATTGCTGATGAGTAGCGAGTGTTCAGTTGCTGAGGTGATTCATTTGCAGATATGTCGTGAGATGTTAGAACATTAGAAAAGTAATAAGTGTGGTATTTGTAGAAGAGACTCGGAGGCCACATTTAGTTATGCTTCTGTTATTATATGCATGAAGTGTCTAAGTTGATAGACAAACTTGCAAGACAAATGCACTAAAACCTCACACGGTCCTGTGGATTTAAAGCAAAGGCTTTCTGGCTGTTTCAACAAAAATAGCACATTTTAAGCCCAAAGGTTGCACATGTCACATGACTTTGGATTGTAAATATATTGTTCACAGGTTTGCAAAGTACACATTAGTGCATTTGTCTTACAAGGTTTCAAAGGATGTAAGAACCTAATAATAATAATACAGCTGATATTAAGGGTTTGTACTGCCCAGATATGTTCAGGGCTAAAGGGAGCATGGATTATATTTTTATTAAAATTAAGTGCATTCATTTGTATGGTGGAAATAGGTCTGGTAAGTCAAGAAAAATAATTATTCTGTCACACAAAGAATCCTCTTTGTAATAGTGTAAAAGTAATGATCACATTTCAGAATGTGATTATATGAGAAGTGTGTTTATGGGCAGTGTAATATCCTGTTATGACTTTAATTATCAGTTATCCTTGCTCTTGTCAGACAGATGTCTTATGACTGTTGAATTTGTCTGCAGAATCGATCAGGACATGCACGGCAAAGTGGAGATCGCCGCTGCTGCCGTTCCAGAGTAACCCTGCTCGCACTGAAAGATGTGGAGGAGGAGAACGATGAAGAATGTTTAGAACCGCTGCCACTCCTACGTTTATATTCTGGGCAACGTGACTGGAGACTCCGCTCTTTGCATAAAGAAAGTGCCTTTTGAAACTATGCTGCCTGTTACATCATGGACGTTTTTACAGCTTGGTCCTCTGCGTTTTTTTCCCCCACATGCTGTCTGAAATATTTTTAATCTTTTTTATCTACTGCTGGTATATTGTGTCAAATTTAGCTTATTGTGTTCCAATAGTTACTGTTGTATCTACACGTTATTTAAGGCACTCTGTTACAAATGGTTGATGCATGTTCTGCTTTATTACATTTAAATATATATTTATATTCAAAAGGTGACAATGGGGAGAAATTAATATATTTTTATGGATGCTCTGATTTTAAACTGCATTTTAGGTCTCTGACCCATTGAGTGGCATTTCATGGAAGTTTTGACGGCACCTTTTTCACTGTTCACTGCTGACATTCTCTGTTAAAATCCTGCCTGGGGGAAAATAAAGTTTTATTTTTTGCCCCTCACTTGAATGTGCCCTCTGACTTATGGAGGGAGAACATTTGAGAGAGCAGCAATCTGAAGCAAAGATGTAGGTCTTAATGTAACATTTCCTCCAAGTAAAATCATGGATCCACATCCTTGTTTTGTATTGTTTTATTCCATTTAGTGCCCAATTTGCAGTGGTAACAAGATAAGAGATAATTATTTGGCACCACAAAGTATATAGCAACCAAACGGAGCATGTTTGACAATATTCAAATAAGCATCACATTAATGGGTAAGTGGGACAGTGTAATATGTTAACATGGGTGTGGAAATAAAAAATGTTCTGCCACGCACAGGCGCCGCAGGTCCATATGAACAGCTTGACAATCTTAAAATACAGAGATGATGAGAAGCTGAATAATAATTTAACAAAACTGACAATAACCAGCCAGAGTATTTAATTCCATCACAAGATGGATTATATCTTAGTAAATAACAGAACATTACAAAGGTAATAACTACAGTGTTGAAGAAGACACAATATAACAGTAACAGTATATATAAATATATATATATATATACTATTATAAATATTATATATTGGGTGCATGAGTGTCTAAGTTGCTGGACAAATTTACAAGACAAATGCACTAACACAGTCCCATGGATTTAAAGCAATGTCTTTCTGAGGGTGTCAACAAACATAGCAAATTTTAAGCCCAAATGTTGCACTTGTCACATGACTAGATTGTAATATGTTGGTCAGAGGATTGCAAAAATGGCAAAGCATTGGGTGCCCAGTTAGCTCACTTGGTAGAGCTGGCAACCATGGACCGAGTCCTGCAGCAGCCTGGGGTTCAAATCTGACCTGTGGTGTCTTGCTGCGTGTCATCCCCTCTCTCTACCCCACTTTCCTGTCTATCTACAGCTGTCACTGTCAATAAAAGGCCAAACTTGGCAAAGAGTTTGAAACATCACAACAGACATGTACAGTAAGTAAGTTCACATTATTGCATTTGTCTTACAGGGTTTCAAGGTAAGTAAGAACCAAATAATAATATAGCTGATATTCATGGTTTGTACTACCCAGATATGTTAAGTGCTTTCAGTAATAATAATAATAATAAGATTCACAGATGATGAGGAATTGAATAACAGTATTGACAATAACACTAACACAGTACACAATATGTTCAATTACAAGATGGATTGTATTTTAGTAAATAACTTAAAAGGAGCAGAATATTTCAAGTTGAAGACCCTAAGCAGTACTTAGGTAAATTAATATTTTTTCCATCATGTTTACCTGTTGCCTTATACGTTACATATAATGTCAGATTAATGCAAGCTTCACAGAACGATGGAATATGGATCTAATAACAGTGGATCTTGGCCTAAAGCTTTGAAACGCAGAACTGACTCCATACATCTAATAGCAATATCATCAATCTCAGGATCAAACTTATTTGCAAAGACATGTTTTTGTCTCAGGAGCCAACTGAGGTCACCGGCTCCGTACACACAAACTGCTCTTCTGTAAGAACCAGTGCAAGGATAGTACGGGGCCCCGTGTCTCATATCTCCTGCTTCGTAGCTCCACTTCACCACACGAGCGAAGGCCTGCATGTCTGACGTATCGTACTTGATGTTAGCAGGCAGTGATCCGGGAACGGAGGGCATCCTCATTAGCGTGGCCCACAAGTGCTCATCAGGGCTGTATGTGTCCTTCTCCCACTCCAAAAGTTTCTGAACCTCTCTGTTCTCCATCACATGTTTCACAAAAGCTCTGGTGACCACAAAGTAAGCATTTCCTGAAAACATGGGGCTGTTAATGGGCGGGGGACTTTTCCTCACATTCGTCCTGATGACGCTGTCAGTGACATTGTAATGATACTGCCAACGGGCCTTTTTGTAGTCATTGGTGGTCTCAGACTCCATGCTATTCCTCCCATTGAGGGCCTTCAGTACCTTAATTATCTCACCATTGGTTTTGATGGGGAAGTCCGTCCCGCAGGTGTTAAGCATGTATCTCCACTTGACATGTGAGCTCAGCAGATCTCTCATGCAGTTCAAATCTGCCTGCACCCGGGACCATGAGGCATATATCACTCTTTCTAATCTAGTGGCTACAAACACGTTAGGCAAGCAGGAAACCATTGCCTCCACAGCCATCTTAAATTCTTGTGAGGATTTCTTGTCCACATGCACACAGTAGATGTTCTGAGGAGTGTAAATAGCTCGCAGAAGTCGCTCAAACATCTCAATCTTCTCATGGATCACCATGGAGTAGGCAATGGGAAAATCCTTCTCTTCTTTACTGAGAGGCATCGTAATGAAACCTCTCTTTTCAATGTAAGTCGGACAGTCTTTTGTCTGATTGAGGTAATAGTCCTCAGATAAACTATCCTTTCTTTTCCTGGAGGCCAGGAGCACTTCTAATTCGCTTTGCCTGCCCCCTGTGTCTCCGTTGATGATAGCCGAGCAGCCTGGCAGGTCAATAGAGAACTGCTGTGGTATTCTGAGATCAGACACTGACTGCCGGTCAGAGTCATTTTCCCAAAAGAAAAAAGAAACAAACATACCCACGAGGATGAGAGAGAGGGTCTTCAACAACTTCTTGCCATTCAACATTGCAGCAACCATTTCCTTGCTTGATCGGACTTCAACGGAGGTTGGTTAACAGAAGTGACCTTGGCTGGTCTTCAGTGCAGGTTACAGTTTTACTAAATAGGGAGAGGCTGCAGTGTCTCATTTATTAAGAAACACCACCTGAACCAACCCCTTAAGTAGGAGTGTCAAACTAAGGTGTGGAAATTATCTGAGAATACCTTACCACACTTCCAAAGTAGGATCCAACCAGCCGTATGTCCTGGTGGAAACTGTTGATGTATTTACTAAAGGAGACTAAAGCTTTAAGTGACGACAAAGGATTTGTTTGAAGAATATTACTGTATAGAACAATACATGCAACATTTCCATAACCGCCTTCTGTAGCTTACACTGACACTAACATCTCATTTAGTTAATTCTTGATTGAAAATTAGACTGGCACAGTGAAGTCATTCCAGTGTGCGGTGGTTCATTTTGATGTTTTATCACTTGGTCCTGTGACTAGTACCTGACTGTTGTTGGCAGTGCATGGGGAGTTTTGTTTTGTTGAAAAGATTTTATTTAATTTCTATTTACAACAAATCATGCAGATTTCAATTATTATACACAATCATTTCACTGTTTTAATGAATATCTCTTTAATGTCAAGTAAAAAAAACGAAAATGTCATATACAGACATATATATGTGTTTTTTCACTGTTTACTCACAAATGCCTGATCTAAGAATTGTGCATTATACAGATACAGGCACTTTATAGAATAAAATAAACACCTGGACTCAAAGAGCAACATAACCAAAGCAAAAATACCACTACATTATCTTCTAAACATTAAACTATTTTGAATTCACTTGTCATTCATTCTTTCGTTACACTAAGCTCTTGAACATATCTAAGATTGATTGAGACATGTGTTCTCATCCACATCATGGTCTGCCTCTGTGTCCTGCTCATGGATAAAACTGTAGCGCCGGTATACTGATCCACCTCTGCTGGTGTACACCACATCCACCTCGTCTCCACTGTCCGGCTCGGGAACACCGTGGGGCATGTTGATGCTGGCACTGCCACTCAGTCGCTCATAGCTCTGGCTCCAGCAAAGCCTCTTCCTGGCATGGGCCTTGACCAAGGTAAACACAGCCAGTGCCAACCCCAGTGCTAGCAGCAGGGCAATAGGCAAAGCGGCTGAGGTGTGCTTCAGAGCTCTAGATGACATACTCAGGTCTGTTGCCTGATTGTGTCCTGACTTGGGTTGGGGGGCTTCCACACACAGAGCTAGAACATGAAAAATGAAAAAAGCCTTTTAGTAAATGGGTGTATCCAAAACAATCCTGTTTCTTATGATAGTCTGGGTGTCTACCTGAGCGGCTGTCACAAACACAGCAATCAGTATCATTCCCTCCAGTCTGACAGCAGCGGGCACATCGGTTCTCCACAGCATGGAGAGCAGAGTCCCGGTGACAGGTCAGACACTGGTCGGGCCTGGGGCCGGTGCAATGCCTACATGAGCTGTCACATGGATCACAGGTTTCCTACAAATGGGACAATTTCACAAATTATTGTACTGGAAAAAACATGTCAGATGTAGAAATTAGGCCAGTCAGCAATGGACTGTTTAATAACAGAGTGAAAAACAGAGACTGAGTTTTTTTTATTGCTTTCAATTAGTTAAGAGTGGGCTTGCTCCCTTCATATAGTTGGTATCGTTTAAAGAGTTTTTGTTGTTTTTATTAGTTTCAGTGTTAGTTTTAGGGTTTTTGTCAATTATAATATGTGGGTATTTGTCAGGGGCTTTAAGATCTAAGAAATTCAGAATAGGTATAACAATACAATCACCTTGGCCTTACAGTCATGTAGACATCCAAGTCTAAAAAAACATAAATATATATATATATATATATTACGATAATAACTTGTGGTCTGCACTTTGTGTTGCTTATCGTAGAAATACGCTACAAAATGTAAAAAAACTTGATTTCCTTTCTAGAGTATTTCAACAATCAAAGGTAATGTTTGGAAAAGATATCCTAAGATAGTTCTTATTTAATTAAGCACTTAACATGCTCTTTATCATGATTAGAAGTGGCCTTGCCACAAAAGCAGACCTGGCTATCACACAATTGTAAATGACTCATAAGAGCACACCTCTACTGAAAAGTAGCGTCCCTCCTCACAACGCGGATAGCAGACTTTGTCCTTTAGAGTGCTGCCCCAGTCGCATGTAACACAGCCCTGAGGCGAGGCATCTGCAAACACAAACATGCTCATATGATGTGACTTAAACCGTCTGTTATTGACATAGTACACTATTACGGGCAATGGCTTGATGTTTAACGGTCAAAACAAACCAAAATAATTGAGAAATCATCACAGAGCTCCTTCATGTGTACCTGTGCAGGTCTGACAGCTGGTGTGGCACTGTTTGCAGATGTCATTTAGATTATAGAAGCGGTGTGGGCAGCGCTCAACACACAGCTTGGTGCCTTGTAGCTCCAGAAGAGGAGGTGAACAGGCTCTGCAGGACTCAGGCCCTGGTCCTGTACACAGCTCGCAGGACTGGTCACATTTCTCACAGTGGGAACCCTCCCTGTAATACCTGAAGAAATGCATGAAATTATCAATATTAACAGTCAGAAAAACATTTTTATTCTTGCAGACATAATACAAGGAAATCTCTTGGATCTGAACTGAAGTGTTAAAATAGTTGAGTTACCCTTTAATGGTGGACTGAAACCACCACCATTTTTGCAGAAATAAAAATTAGCAATATGTTTGTATGAAAAATTTGTCACAATTAATGACAACATTTTGTCATTAATTTTATGAATTGTAAATAATAGTTTTCAGAGTAAGTCCTGCTCTGTGTTTTTACGGATCCTTGTGTTAAAGGGTGGGGATGAAAGTCAACAGTTATCTAATAGAAGCAATGTTGAAATACAAAGCAAATATTAGACTTTGTACCCTGTTGGACAATGTGTGACACAGAGTTGAAGGAGACGCAGGTGTCCTGGAGAACAAGTGAGGCAATCTCTAGCTGATGCTCCTGTGCAGGTGGAGCAGGCGTGGTCACAAGGCAAACAAAACCCCAGCTGTGTTCCGTCAGCCTCCTGCCTTGTGTTGTACGTACCAGCCGGACACTCGCTCACACATGTGCTGTCTAGAAAAACAAACAAAACAAGATTTATCGATTTATGAGTACCCACTCTGGCACTATTATTCTTTTTCATTTAATGAAGAGTTGTGGCTGTCATCTTATATGATTCTGCATTGATTTAATAACTAACATAATGTTAGTTATTAATGTGTTGACGGGATGAACAAGGCAGAACTCAACAAGGGCACAGTACAGCAGCTGGACAGTGTACAGTGCACACATACTGGATTAATCTAGCGGTTTAGCTTCAAAGAAGGCAAACGTTTAATATTATACTCATATTAACAACAGCACATTTACCCCACAACACACATTCCGACGTCTTTCGACAAGAAACATTTAACTAGTGATGTTGGTCAGTAAAATTGTACTTTCATTTCATTATTTTCATACAGGAAGAAAACTCTAAAACTTCTATTCTCGATTCTTCCAAGTCCAAACGCAGTAATAATAAAAAAAAAAACGTTATTACTGCCATAAAAAATATACTGCGTAGCGAATAATAATACTCCCACACATTGTCCTTTCTTCTTCCCTGCTTTTTATCTGTTAGTCAGACAATGAGACCAGGTAGCTTAACTGTCTGTTGTGTTACATCCACGTCTTTCATTATTGATAATGTTCCATCAATATCACACATGTAGTAAATCTTCAACTTCTTTTAGTTCTTTAGCTTTGACTGGCACTTCAACTCTTTTCAGTGCTTCATTATAAATAGTTATTTATATAAAAAAAAAACAATTGAAGGCTCCAAAGAATTGAAATATTTTTTCCAAATGCAATTTTCCAAGCGTGTGTAAATGTAACCGTACATGTATGTATGCTACCATCACTCTATCCAGCTGTTGTTAACTGTTGATCAATCACATGCAGCTGTTTAAGTGAGACAATGAAATATTCTCAGCAGAGCAATATGCAGTTTTCATAGTGTACTGAGGGCATCAACTGCAAAGACTAGTTAACAAAATCCATGACTCTGGCTCAAATTCCTTAGTCATTAGTCATCGAGGCTAAAAAAAGCTGTTATCAGGTCCCTGGAAAACCGATAGTTTAGAGATATGTTGTTTTGCTTTGTTATATGCCTGTACTTTTAAAGAAATCAGCTTCTCTGCTGATTTGAGCTTATTTTACACCCTGAACCACATCAGTGTATGCTGTTGAACATTGGTGGAAAGTGCTCACTGTGAAGGTATTTGGGGACGGCACAGGTCTGGCACGCATCGTTGCCTGGACCCTCACAAGAGTAACAGTGCTGGTGGCAACCCATGCAGGTGAACTGGTCGTCATGTAGGTAGGTCCTTGGTGGGCAGTCTGTGTCACCCGTCACGCCACACAACAATGTGTTTGGATCCAGCACAAGTCCCTTCTCGCACTGGGTGCACTGGTTTGCGTCTGAGCCGAAGCAGCTCATACAAGTCTGGTGGCACTCTGCACGCGATCAAACAAATGAAACTGCGTCATTGTTATATCACTACATTTATAAAAGAGGGTGTGATCACCACCATGTTTCACAGATAAATGTGTTTTTAAAATACATATTGTATTTCATTATCACTAACCCTTACAGATAATACACGGCTGTGACGCTGTTGCGGTTGTAGACATCATGGATTTAGTACTTTCTGAATAATAAGCAAACATGCAGCAAACATGTCGTCTTTATCAAACGTTTCCAATATCCTGAGCTTGTCATGGAAGAAATCTGGGCCTCTCCTTACTTTACTTTGATAACCTGTAAGTTCAGGAACTGATTTTTCTGATCAACCAGTTATATTTAACCCTTACAACCTTTCCTGTTAGGCTGGATTTCAATTTCACCGGCTGCAAATCTCAGTATGGCCCCTTTGAGATTTATCACTTCAGAGATAAAACAAACAGGTCTACTGTACAGTATGTATGTATTAAGAGGCTCACCTTGACATTCCATAGCTTCAGTTTCATAGTATGTACTGGTGGG